CGATTATCCTCTTTTGTTCCTATTTTTCGTTCTCTTTGCTTGCCATCTTCTTCAGAGGTGTATTGATTCTCACATACTGTTGAATTTCAGAAGCCAGCCTCCACAATGTTGCGCAGGTCGAATCAACACAGATGCACAAAGTTTCATTTTCCGATCATCTGAACTGCACTTTTCTGTTAAATTATTGCATCAAGATCGAGGATTTTTGTTTCAATTTGTTTTTGATTTTTTTTCCTCTCTCGTGCAATTACTCTTTGCAGGTCTATTTTACAGCTCGCGTCTCGTAGTTCGGTTCGTAGGGTTCCATTACAGATCACAACTCAGGCACGTATTTACATGTACTGTATGTGCGCTTTGTGTTTCTGTAGCAGATATACTTTCACCTTAGCTCGTGAGTGGGATGGAATTCTTATTGCACTTATTTACATGTACTGTATGTGCGCTTTGTGTTTCTGTAGCATATACTGATATACTTAAACCTTAGCTCGTGAGTGGGATGGAATTCTTATCTTTCGCTTCTGATTATTCGTCATTTTCTGGTTCTCATGGTTTGTAAATTTCGATGGGCTCGTTGTTTCTGTTGTGAAGAAGAGGGAAAGTTTTGGGTGCATTGTTTATATGCATTTTGTTTTGTGCTGCTTTGATATATTTTTGAAGTTTTCCTCGAATGATTGAAATGGTTTATCATGTTTGGAATTCACTAGTATATCTTCTTAGCGAGTTGAGTGTTTTTCTTGTTAATTTCCTGAAAAGCATTGGTGGGGGCTTGCAGATACCTTCATATCTTTCTTCAAGAAGGTTGTTTTCTGCTTCCTCAAATGGACCACAGAAGCCCAATACAGGAAACAGTGGAGATGTACCCAAAAGTAGTGTACCTAACATTCTAATTGGAGGTCTTGCATTGGGTTCTGTATTCTTATTTGTTTACTATTCTGGGGCTTTGGATAGTTATATTGACAAAAGGCCGCCAAGCATCAGTGAGTTTGACAAGGCCCGGGTTGGCTACAGTAACATACAGGCATCTCCCGAACAGCCGGAGGCAGATGAAGCTCGTGAAATAAGTGAATCAATTGACAGGAAGAGATCACAGGAGTCAGATGTGTCAAGTTCCGATAGCGAACATGTAAAGAAAGATGTTGAAACACATGCAGATGTTAGCATCCCAGCAAGTTTCACAACTGAAGAGGATAAAAGCTTTCAGGCCAAAGATAAGGCTGTTCAGACTTCAGAGAATGTCAATACCCTTGAAGGGACTGATGTGTCTAATGCCCCTCAAAGCAGCAGCATATCAGTAGAAGGTGTGACTAGTGAACCGGCTGAAGTGAGTGTTGATGTGAATAGTTCAGGGGCGAAGCCTTTTGGGGAGCCAGTCAAGGCTATGGAAACTGGACAAGATACTGCTACCTCAGAAGACAAAACTACAGCTGATTTTGAGATCAAGTCTGTTACGAGTGAGCACACCACCATTCAAGGTGTGCAGGAGGTAACAATATTTTTTTTTTTCACCATTTACTTTACTCTGCAGTCAATTTCTATCTGCTCAAATCATCCAAAGTTTCTGGTGAAGCAACTTTTGCTACGTTGTTCAGGGTGATGCTGCACAAAGAGTCGATTCCCTCCTTGACGATTACTGTTTAACAGACGATTCTGGAGAACACAATGCATCTTCTTCTGAAAAACTTAAGGTTAACATATCATCTGTATATTTGTTGGAAAAATAGATATGGTTAGTTTAGATTTAGGTAAGTAATAAATCTTTCTATTAGTACAAAAGTAATCTTTTGTATGACTGATCATTTGTTTATGAAATCAAAGGATATAAGTTCAAGAATGGAGGATGTTCATGATGGTTACATAGCAAAAGATGGAAAATTGGTTCTCGATTTCTTGCAAGCCATACATGCTGCTGAGGAGAGGCAAGCAGAGTTGGATGCTCGTACTTACACTGAAGAGAAGAGAGCAATTAAAGTTAGTAAACGACTTTCTTTTTTTCTTTTTACTGTAATAAGCAAAAGGTGTAGATGGCTCTGTTATTCATTGCATTCTTACTTTCCAATTTTTTCATGATTTATCATAGGATTTACTTAAGTACCATAATGATTAGTTGGTATACCTTACTTATCAGTTTCTCCTAACACGTCATAAACTCTGCAGGAGAAGTATGAAAAGGAACTCAAGGATGCAAGGGTCAGGGAACTCATGTATGCTGAGAGGGAAGCCATTCTAGACAAGGTTTTAAATAATTTTATTTATTTTTTTTCCTGTGGTTCTTTGCTTCTATTTTTGTTTTTCCCTGTCAATCCCGTATGAACATATTTTCTACATTTTTTTTTCCTCTCTCTAATCTTATTTACATAAGCAGTGGAAATGAGCTTCTTGGAGTGGCATCAATGCTAATTGAGCTTTATTCTCTTTTGTTTCTCTCAATTCGTTCTGTGCAAAATTGAGCAATCATAATGGACTTCCTTTGAGTAAAATTAACCTTATAGGAAAATGTATTATTTTGAAAACTGTATGCCGCAGATAGCCCACAATGAGATAGGTTGTCCGTCATTCAACTGTTACAGAGGAGAGGTATATTTGTTTGATACCTAACATATTGCTTCTTGGAAAATTTATAGGAATTGACTAAAGAAAGAATTAAGGCTGCTGCTGCTCTCAGATCACTTCAAGAAAAGCTAGAAGACAAACTTAGAACAGAACTTGAGCAAAAGGTAACAATCGGATGATTATTTTCTTAAGTGACGGCTATTCAGCTGTTTTCATTAACAAGTGCATGTTGTGGGATTTTTTCAAGCAGGAAATGGAAGTCGAACAAAAATTGAAGCAAATGCGAGATATATCTAAAGCAGAATTGGCTGCAGCAATTGCAAGTGAGAAAGCTTCCCAGATTGAGAAAATGGCTGAAGCGAATCTTAATGTATGAAACCTGCTGATTTTTGTTTTTCTTAGAGATTGGAGTTGCTGCAAATCTGACAACATTATAGTTCTAGTCAGCTTCTCAAATCTCAATATGATTGAACTATGCAATTTACAATGAAAGACTTTTAGAAAAATAAGATCAACTTAAGAAAATTTTTGGCATTCTGTTGGATTCTTTTACCCGATGAAGCTCATAGTGAATGAAGTAATAATTTGTAGTTGAGAGTTGACTTAGTAGGTCAAATACCACGATATTCTCCGAATAAAACTAAGTTCAGGTCTTAGGTTCATTTAGGTAAAGTGTAAAGAAAGAGTGAAACCAGCTATCTGTGTTCGTTGGTATCCATTAAAGAGATAAAAAACTTAGTATGCCCTTGAAGTCTTGAACTACAACTAATTTTGTTGTTTTCTCGTCACAAACTGGATGCCACAATGGAAAACTTGTGGATTTAATATTAAATCTGAGTTTAGTACAGATTGGACGTGTATTTTCTACTTGTTCCAAATCGCATCAGCATATGTTATTAGCTAACTACCCAGTTAAATAAAATTACCAGCACATCATGTAGATATTATTTTGTTTAATTTGCTTTTATCTGTGTGCATTATGTTCTCATGTACGCAAATTTTACAGTTTTATCCATAGTTAGAGAGGCTGTGTTTTTATGTTTGTATTGAACATTTTACTATGAGATAGAAGTGCGTAGTTTTGATTCTAGAAAGTAATGTGATGAAGTGTGACTTCTCGTTAACTTGAGCACTATCTGAGTGCTCATCCAAAACAAACGAGATATTATCAAAAAATCATAACAGTGCCTTCTTGTAGTTTATCATAAGCTATTGTTATTTCCCTGGGGAAAGTGACGGTTAATATACCTCAATTTGTGTTCATTCTACTTTTTTGTTGTCATACTCTGCAGATAAATGCTTTGTGCATGGCGTTTTATGCACGGTCTGAAGAAGCTCGCCAGAGTCATTCTGTACACAAGCTTGCCTTGGTAGTCTCTTGAATTCCATATTAACTCCTATTACATACTGCTTAGCATGCCCCTGCTTTTGGTACTTTCTCCTGTTTAATTTGAGTTTGTTAGTATGTGAATGTTATCAAAATGTGATATGGATTAGCTTACCTTCACCTCTATAAGCCTCTCATTATCACCCAAGATCTGTACCTAAAGGAGCTGGATAATTTTTGAGTTGTTCTGAGAAATTATTTTGTCTCTTACATCTGAGGCAACTCTTACCACCAAGCCTAGTTTTGTACTATTCATTGAAGTGAAGCATGAGAAAACATTGATTACCTGTAGTTAAGTGTTGTAAGAAGCTGGCATAAATTCCTCTTTCTGTTGGTATAGAATGTGCTCGGCTATGTGTTCTTAGCGGCATATTGAGAAGTATAAACTAACCAAAGTTCGAAAGTGTTTTTTTACACTGTATTTGGCATTTTTATCAGTTTCAGCATAGTAAGTGACTAAGTGTGAGTCTTAGGGATATGATAGGCCGCACTTACAATTTGGGCACCCATTCCTCTCCGACCATTTGAGATGGTTTCTGTCATAAAAATATCTGGATCTGCATTCAGGATCAACTTTTCGGGAGTAAGAACATCCTTAGTTGAAAACTTGGGATGATCATATCAGTGTTATCAAGTTTCCGACATTGCGCCGTGTCAAGAAAACACATTCTGCTTTCCAGCTTCCTTTATCATGACACCTTTATGTTTTGAAACTGTCAAATGTTTGTGTTGTGCCAATATGTACTTATTCTTTTAGGAGTCATGAAACATCTCGAAAAGTTTTGAAATTGTCACGCACATATATGATTCCTCTGTGAAATCCTGTTAAACTGAGAAGAGTCATTTCGCATGTGTTGCAGGGAGCACTAGCTTTAGAAGATGCACTGTCCAAGGGTCTACCTGTACAAAAGGAAATAGAGGCCCTCCACACTCATCTTGAAGATATTGACAAAGACTCACTAGTAGAAGTGGTTCTATCTTCTCTCCCTGAGGACACTAAAAAATATGGAACAGATACTCAGTCCCAGTTGAATCACAAGGCATGTTACAATTCTTTATTTTACTCCCGTTTTATCAAATCATGGATGAGTTGTTTAGATCTTGCTTATTAAATTTTTACTAACTATTTTACCTTTTCATCGATTTTTTTTTCTGTCTTGGCATGCTACATGAATGAAGTTGTACCATATCATTTTCTTTTTGCTTCTTGTATTGTAAAACTGCAAGAAAAGCTTTGGAATCGTCATGAGGCATAATTTTTTGCTATGTTGTATAACCTACTAGTTTTCACTCTATATGAAAGCCAAATAACCTGCTGTTCTGAAAGGCAGCGATCTATAGGAAAGGAGCTAAGATTAGTATCTGTGTTACATCCCGTAAGTTGTGCCAAAAATGGTTACTGCGGTTTATGAAATTACAGATTCATAAATGGTAGGAGTTATTTTTCAGTTGTAGGAAAGTAGAACTATTGTATCTAGCCTTTTCCAGTCTAGGTTTGTCAATTTTTTATTGCATCTTGTGAAAATAGGATCTCAAGTGTGCTTCTGTTAATTGATATTGATCGCTTCATCCAATTTTCTGCATGATTGTTTACATGATGAGTTATTTTTATAAAAATTATATGAACCAGTGGAATTTAGATATATCTAGTAATATATTGAAAGGTTTTGCTGGATAGTTTAAGGAACAAAAGTTATGTAGTTCTAAAGGATAATAAGCGGTCAACAGCTTATTACTGCATTGTCCATATTTGTGTTCCCCTACTCCAGTGGAATTCACAATGTCGTGACATGGTCCCGAGCACTAAGCTCTGTTTGGGTGCAGTCAACTCAATAGATTTAAAAGGATAACATAGGAAGATACATCAATATCTGTTAGGGGGTAGTTGTTTGTTGAACCTGTAAATGCAGCATCTACTTGCTAAATGAGGTACATAAATAAGTTTATCAATGTTCTTTTAAGTCGTATAAAACGAAATTACAGTTACTTCGATAATATTGTATACGCCTGTTTTCTAATCTTTGTATTATTACTTGTCCTATCTGGTAAAGATTATCAGAACAATCTCCTGTCCTTGCAGTTTGATGCCTTGAAGAGTACACTGAGACATTACAGTCTAATTCCGCCAGGCGGTGGCGGAATATTATCACACTCATTGGCTTACATTGCTTCTTGGCTGAAGGTCTACCATTTTGTTATTTATTATCTGTTACTAAGGGAGCGATTGGATATGAGTTATGATCCAACTTAACTGGTTATAACTGGTTGAGTTATTTAACATCCAATCACCTAACTCAAAATCCAACTCAACTCAACTCTCCTACTTTTTATAAATATTAATTAAATAATATCAATCAATCATTCTTACACATCACATCAACTTTAATTCATTAGTCATCCACTCACATAATTAATTTTAACTACCTATCACTTCCTATAATCTCTCTCCTACATTTACATCACGTCAACTTTAATTATTATTTAATTTCAAATTCAAAATCATTCACTCAATGTACTTTATTCCAAATAACCCACTTTAACCAACCAAGTTAGATTCATATCCAATCGCCCCCTAACTGATTCCCAAAATTTTTCATTCCGAATTTTAACTCTTTCTGGGTTCAGTTTAAGGAGGTGGACCAATCAGGCGAGGGAATCGAGTCCCTCATAAGCAGAGTTGAGAGCCTGTTAGCTCAGGGTAAGTTATGTGAAGCTGCAGATACTCTGGAAAACGGGCTCGAAGGCAGCCAGGCAGCAGAAGTGGTCAATGACTGGGTTCGAAGAGCTAGAGAAAGGGCCGTTACTGAGCAAGCTTTGACTGTTTTGCAATCCTATGCAACCTCTATCAGTTTAACATGAAATTAGTAAATTACCCACCCGTATTAAGTTTCTAATTGTTTGTTACCAAGTGCTATTATGAGTCGACAGGCATTTTGAGGATGTTTTTTCTTTTTTTTTTTTCAGGGCTAAAGAGTGTTTTAGCAGTTTTTGGCTGTTTTAATCCCCAGTTACGCTATACTGTTGTATGTAGTCGTTCGTGGGTTATAAATAAATTTCCCCCTCAAATTTTCTTGGAGAACGATGATTTTTCACTGGCCAGGTGGCAGGTTTTTGCGGAAAAACGAAAAGTAGAAAAAGAAACTGACATGTTAATAAGTGATTTTGCATTCAGCTGTTTTGGCTCGAGAAAATTTTATGATGCCAAATGAAATGGAAGTGGAAATTCTTGAAAACTTGTGTTTCTCGTATAGTATGTTTCAGTTTTTGACAGGAAAAGCAACATTGAATGATTCTTCGGTTGTGCTTCGACTTCATGAAGCAACTTGAGTCGAAGGTACGTTTGGATTGTGAATGGTGTGTAATGCAGGATTGGCACTTGAAGTCAAAGCGAAATAACTGAAGTTCTCATTCATTTAGATGGCGAATGATTAGCTAATTTTTCAGTTGAATCCTAATTTTCAATTGAATCCATATATGGCAACAGAATATGGATTTGATGTCTTACCTAAACTAACAGCAGAATATTGATAGGCCTTGATGGTCTTTGAGGGGGGAGTGGTTACTCTTTCCCGTGAACTTGTAATCATTTGATTACCGATGTACTGTTTTATGAGCTTTTCAATATAATGTTCTTCGTTTGGAAAAAAAAAAAAAAAAACTAACAACTTTCCGAACGTTAATTATAATAAGCCATAAATTCAACAGTATAAATTTCATTCAAATTCATCGGTACTGCAAATTTGTATGTCTTCCCCACTACCTTGTAGGGCGGAAAAAGATGATAACTTAGTTATGGTGCAGTACCTATTTATGGAATGCATGATTTTTTGACATATAGGTTGAGAGAATATGATATGCAAGTGCAATGATTTGTAGGTTTTAAAGTATGTCACCATCAATCCGTCTAACGGGTAGATGATCGTTCCGTCTAACGGGTGGACAGATAGATGATCGTTCCATCTAACGGGTAGATGAATGGCCTCACGTAGAAATTTGTGCTGATAATATATGTGCTTCATTTGTTGAAAAAATATAATATTAATCAGTATAAAATTAACATATGCTATTCAAAATATTATTCTAATAATAATTCTCCCGTATGAAATAATTTTTCCTAAGATAATATATATTATAAAAAATTCTTGTGAAAGACGACCTTGTCATTAGGCGGATAGACCTGTCATACTAGATTTGTTAATAAATATGCATACATACATTAACAAATGTCACTCTTTTATTTAAATATATATATATATATATATATTTAAAATATAGCATTTTCTATTAAAAGTATGCATATTGGTAACAAATAAATTATGAATATTTGACATGGAGTAATATTTGTCACCTATTGTGTACTATATATCCAATCTGCCTTGCATTTGAGATTGTCCATTATATATAGCTTGCACTTCTAAATTCTAATTGTGTCACAGGACTTGTCTGGTTTGCCAGCAAGCCCGAAACTTCCGCGGCGTCGATGTCGGCTCTTAGTGTCAATGTCGGCCCAGCAGAGGCTGGCTTATTTGGACTCTTTTCAAGCTTGCATCTCTCAGTGATGTCATTTAACTGTCAACCCCTAGCATTTATCACCACAATTTGGTTGTCTTGTGTAAGCTTGAACTTGATTGACTATATAAAGTTGTAAAGTACTCGTGTACTACACAAATACTTGAAAAAATTGATACTTTTATAATAACAAGGAACTACAGTAATTCATATTCTTATTGTTAAATTATAAATAATAAATGTACAAGGAATAATAAAGAATTGAAAAAAGGTGATATTGTGTAGCATGGAACTTGTTTCACACTCAATTTAGTCACAATATTGAACTTTTATCATATATATAAAATTATATTTAAATTTCTATTTTCTTAAGTCTTATTGCAGTGTAATTATATTTTCTATTTATAGAGTTAGTCTCTCATATATTAAGTTTTTTTAATTATTTTAAATATATTATATTTGATTTACATTTTTTTTGTTTTCAACATCATAATAACATTCGAACGGTCTACATATTTTATTTAAGTCGAGTTGTAATTTTTTTTTAATATCTTTTAATATTTAGTAGTTTGTTAATATTTCATGGGTCTATCAGACCAATACGCTTAAATGGTTGTTTTATGTTATATTACTAAAATATTTTCTTATTTAAAAGCTAATTTAAAATTTTATTTGATGTTTTATGTTTGTTTTAATAAATAAATTTAAATTTTATTTATAGACCGATAAAATTATTTTATACTATATATAATATTAATGTCAAAAAAGTCATTAAAACATGAGTAAATTGATATGTGACATATAAAAAATAAAATACAATAAATTAAATTTATAAAAAATAAAAAAAATACATATTCATAATAATTATATATACATAAGAAAATGAAAGGTAAATTTTGTTAATTTAAGATCATAAAAAAAGATGGAATAGTTTTTGGTAAGATAAACATTTTTGTAAAAAATTTAAATCATAATATATTATTTGTAGTGTGACAAAATGTGTTCAAGATAAATATGACCATTTGACGAGATATTTATTAGTAATATCCAAACTTTAAATTTGAAAAAATGCCATGTTTTTAGGAATTAATCCATCAAATAATACAAAATTCCTATTTGAGTCATTCGAAATTCTTAACGCAAGATTGACTTGTTTTTTAGTTTCAAATTTAAACATGTATCTCAAAAGGGATTATCTGAATTCTTTTGAAATATTTTCAACTTCAGTGACAATAGATTAATTGTGTTAGTTAGGTGGAGAGATTATGTGTTTTTTGAGAGTATTTTTGTAAAGCTTTCATTTTCTAAATGGACTTCTCCAAAAGTTCTCATCTTTTGTATATATATAGAATGGACATTTTGGAGAACCAATTTATCTATGATTTCATTCTCACTTTAACATCAAACGTAACTTGTTTATCTTTTTGTTTTCTTTTTTTTTTTTGTACAAAGAAGAGGCTAAACGCCTATCAGGTTGAGGAGCACACTGCCCGCGAATAAGATACACCAATAAGATCATGATGGAGTCATTGCCGGACCTCATCTGGCGGGACATGTAAGCCATGGTATCCCACCGTAGCGAAGAAAGTCAAATAATCAGCTGCAAAATTCGCCTCACGGTAGACATGATTCACCTTCACGTGCCAAGGTCGACTCAATAGATCTTTGATACCCAACACCAAACCTGAATGCACACCTGGCACGTCTTCAAGAGTTCGTGAAAACCACACAACACTCTCGTTGTCAACTTCTGCTTCCACTTTCCGAAATCCTAATTTCCACGCCAACTCCAGGCCCCGAAATAAACCCCATAGCTCCGCAACCATTATTGAGCAAACCCCAATTTTCATTACAAAACCCCCTGCCACTGTCCAAACTCGTTTCTAATAAGACCACCAGCAGACTACTCGAAAAGTGTTTCCAAATATGCTTATATATATTTACTCCTTTAATCCCTTTGTGTTGAGTTTAGTCAGGATTTGTTAGACATGATAAAGGGTCGGGTCGTCCCATCGATATATCGGGCCAAGTCTGCAAACCCCCGGGCCAAACCTGTTGACCACGAGTTTTAGGCCCGCACAAGAATTGGGCTCGTGCTTTGGCTGAGATGGTTCCAGGCCAGACGTTTCGTGCCACAACCGTCTATTTGAATTCATAATTTCAAACATTAGATAAAATCACGTGGTAGGCCCGAAACCAGTGAGACATAACTGAAATCGGGTCCGTCGATTATTGATACCCAAACCGTATTTTTCTTGTGCCGGTTCCGTTTC